ACCCTTTGAGAAGACTGACCCCACAGGGTGGACCGGCAGAGAGGCGGCAGGAGCAGATGATGGCACCTGCCAGACCCAGAGGATGATGGGAAAAGGCCTTTGGGCTTTGTTTAAAAAAAAAAAAAAAAAAAATGGAGGCCGGAGTGAAGAGCCCGGGACGTCTTGTCCACCGGGGAGTGTCCTTCAGGGGGGAAAATGGAGCGAGAGGCTGTTGTTTACAGAGTAGAGCAGCGTGAGCAGGAAGGAGCGACAGAGACTGATGTGATTGGACGTCGTACACACACTGTAAATGATCCGTCAACACAGACATCCGTCTCCATCTCCCTCTGTAGTAAAACTGATGGAACGAGTCAGGAGTCAGAAGGACGAGCTGCGTTTGTCTTCAGGACACCAGCAGGTGAGAGTCAGTCACTGCAGGACGTGAAGGACAAAAAAAAAAACAAAAACAAAACAAACTTACCATTTCTCCCTAACATCTGTGTGGTTGTGTCATGGCCTCAGAGCATTCTGGGATACCGCTGGCCGCTTCTTCTTTTTTTTTTTTTTTTCATTTTGAGTTTGTGTCTTATATCAGAGGTTTGAAAGGGAGTAAAAACTGAAGGGGAAAATAAACCAAGTTTACATTGTTTTTCAGCCGGACCTGCACGTTTAAGTGACTTAGCGCTCGCGTCCATCTTCACCGCGGACATATCTGTAGACTGTCGTGTTATTTAAGGTGGAACGGCTCACTGAGGCAGTGAATCATGAAGCAGACTTTGACTTTCTGCTGAGGCTCAGAGGTTTTTTTTTTTGTTTGTTTTTTTTAGTAAATAACGCAGGAGGGCTAACGCAGTACTTTTGTGTACATTCGAGTTTTAAAGGGTGAAGCAGGTTTTCTGTGCTCGGTTGGGAGCGGAGGACGGCGGCGGTTTGTGGATTTTTATTGAATATTGTGAAACGACGAGGAGCTCAGAGCCTTTTCAATGTGGTGTGGATTTCTGGATTTTTTTTTTTAAATTTTTTTTTTACAAAAATATTTTAGTTGGATTTGTCCTATTTAATATAAAAATGACTTAACGATGAAAATTGAAGGCGGAGGAAGACAACGACAAGGGGTTGGATTTTCAAATTAAAAGCAGTGAGCTGTGACAGCGCCACCGTCTGATCACAACTGTAACAAGTTCGTAAGTACTCGTAGTACTTTGTACTTTTATAAATACAGTGTTACCAAGCCGAGCGTACTCTTTCACATACTTTATTGAAGACCAACGAACAGATCAGAGTTTATTTAACGTGAGCAGAAATGATGGACGCTATGAACGAACGAACGAACGAACGAACGTTGAGGTCAGTCGTCGTGTTTCAGTACATTGTCGGAAAATATTAGTGAACGAGTCCTGCTGTGTGTGTGTGTGTGTGTGTTCATATGGACTGTTACAGCAGATCATTGATGTGAGATGAACTGTGTTGTCTTTTTATTTATTTTTATTATTTTTTTTAAGAAGCGAATTTTTTCATAAACATGTCGTCAGGTTTTATTTATTCTTTAATTTATTTTAAAATTCCTTACATTTATATGAGTCACCTACTCGTCCTGTAGATATATTTTGGAAAAGGTAACCGGACCGGACCGGACCGGGTTCTTCTGAACCAGCTGTTCATTTAAAACCAGTGTCACCCATGGTCACAGTGGACTGGTGTGTCAGTGGAGGTCACACGTTTGATCCTAACTGTTTGGATCATCTGGTACCGGAAGCTGTTTATTTTAGTTGATATCAACGTTGGGTAACCTGGTATTTTATTTTGAAAAACACGATCACTTCCTCCTGCTCCTCTATATAAATTACAATGGAATAAAACTATAAATAAAAAGTGAATTATATAGGATAATAATTATATTTACATTATATATGAAATCATCAAATAATATATGATGCTTTTTTTAATGCATGTGACCTCCTCACACACACACACACACACACATATTCTGTGGAAAAATGTAACGTGTACACAGAAAGTTCCTTTTTTTTACTTTTGATTTGATAAACTGATTTAATTTTTTACCCTCAAATAAGTTTGACTTTACAGTAAATCTGTCCCGTATAAAACCACACTCTAAAACGTTTTAAAAATAGTTTTAAATTAATTACTTTCATGTCTCGGCGATGTACAGAATTCTCATTGTCTGGGTTTTATTTCTTCGCTGATGTGAAGGGGAGACACCTGGTGGTGATTTATGGTACTGCAGCAGGACTGACATCCTGACCTGGAGAAAAAAAAAAAGAAAAAAAAAAGAGTTGTGATCCCAAAATTACCGACAGTGTACGGTGGCATGATGCGTTGTTCTGTTTTGGTGAGTGATAATAAAGAAGCAGTTTGTTTTTATTAACGCTCACTGTCATCATCGTCATCATCATCGTCATCATCACCGGATGACGTCAGCGAACTGGACCTGGTGCCAAGAGATTCCTGTTTTGTTTTTAAAATTTTTTTTTTTTAGCTTTTCCGACTCATGGATCGGCTGCCGCTGATAGAACCAACGGTTGAAATGTGTAATTAGCAACAATTAGTATTTATGCTCCAATAATGATCGATGTTGTTTTTTTTTTTTAATTAAACGGGACACGTTTGACTCATTTCCTGTCAAATTCAAACATGTCTGTGCTGAACACTGAGTTGCGTTAACAACTCACCCACCAGAGGGCACCACCAACGGCTGCCTCCGCCCCCAACGCCCGTGTTCCCGGGGTCCTGCAGCATCACCTAACTCCACCTGTGTGTGTGTGTGTGTGTGTGTGTGTGTGCGTCCCTGTGGCTGGAGTCCGTGTTTACATGAACTGTGAGAGAACGTTCTCCAGGCCAGTCGTCCAGGAATCATCGTCGGAACATTTTCTAATCTTCAAAGACTGCTCTTATTTCTATGACTGTCTCTGTCACCATTTTGTTACAACCCTTGTACAGCACAACCTCAAGTAAGCAGTTAAAAAAATAAAAATAATAAAGACCCACAACTTTACTGATGACGCTGAGAAGATCCTGATCTTTGTCACGTTTCAGTTTGGTTCTCGTTTTTTTTTCTTTTTTTTTCTCTCCTCTGACTCCCTGCACCGAGGAGTCAGAGGGAGGAGGTTCAGTCAGGGGTGAATGTCCTGCAATAAATTTTTTTTTTTTTTGGGAGAGTGGTTAGTGCTCTAGCTTAACAGTAGGAAGGTCAGGGGTTCAATTCCCAGCTCTTACAGCTGGTCTTTTTGTGTGTTTTTTTTTCCAGGATCGTTCACTCTGAACTGATCATTAGTGTGAATGTGAGCGTGAACGAGATTAAATAGACCCTTCATGTGTGGGGGTGGAGCAGAGCTCCACCCAGTAAAGTCTGTCTGTTAGAAAAAAAAAATCACAAAATTATTTTTAATTTATTTTTGGAAATAAGACTCAAATTTAAACTATTTGGACCTGTATTTGACACAAAAGAACTTCACAGCCGGATCTACTTTCCTCACAGACACAGACAATTCAGACTTGATCAGAATGAGTGGCATCATCATCATCATCATCATCATCATCATCATCATCGTCAAAGACTGGCTGTCAGCTCAGCCTCAAACTGGTGACCTTCAGGCAAGAGTACCAACCGTTCTCTCACCGCGTGGCCTCATAAAGAGTTCAACTGAAGGTGTAACGAGTCTCAACACTGGTTTTTCCAAAATTCCCCCACGTTTATTTCTATAAAGAAGTAAAAATTCAGAGTGGTTTGTAAACATACTTTTATTCTGAAAATCTTCAACATTTCTGAGTGTATAATACATTAAATGAGTCAAAGTTGCTGCTTTATTCTTAATCTCTCTGTTGTTCTGGGCTTTTTTTATTTATTTATTTATTTATTTATTTTTTTTTTTTTACCAAAACTACAAATTTGATTCGATTCAACACGTGAGCGACGACAGTCTGTAACATAAACAACCCTTTTTTCTACACTTCCTCTCATCCTCAACACAGACTGGTTTATTAATGACATCATCATCATCATCATCATCATCATCATCAGCTGCTTCTATATTAGTGACTGTTCTCTCGTGAACCAGATCAAACTCCAGTCAAACACAGGAAACAACGGAGGATCAGTTTGGAGTGAATCTGAACCAGGTGCTAAAAACTCAATCTAATCTCCTGGTAAAGAAAATAAAAATAAAAATGTCTACCAAATTAACACCTGCTGATGGTGTGTGTGTGAGAAAAGGCGTTACTTTTTGTTTTTTTCATGTGTCACTTGTCTGTCACTGCTGACTACTTCATTCAAACTCTCTCCAAAAAAAAAGTTATTTTCAGCTGCGTGCCTCCTCCTCCTCCTCCTCCTCCTCCTCCTCCTCCCCCTCCTCCTCCCCCTACGTCCTGAACAGACACTGACGACGATAATTATATTTCACACACCTTTATACGCTGTGTCGATCTCAAACAGAAACTCTCATTAAAAGACAATTCACTCGTTGGTCCCATAATGAAAAAATAAAGAAAAAAAACTTTTTTTTTTTATCATTTGTCGGCAGTTCCGTTCTCCAGCGGCCGGGTCAACAGTCCCAGCTCACTGAAGGTGATGTTGCTCTCGTTGAGCCGTCGTACGCGGTACGTCTCGTAGTGGATGTTGTGTGTGACGTCTTTCAGGTCCTGCAGGTGAGTCCTGAACACAACAGAAGAAGAAGAAGAAGAAAAGTCAAGTGTGTTTATCCCTGATTTCCTTCAGCCGCTGCTGGTCGGACCACACTCACCTGATGAGGAGATCCCTCAGGTTGGAGAACTCACAGTGAGCCACGTTTTCAACTGTGGGAGTGAAGAGAAAAGTCAATGAAATCAAGTCAATTACGAAGTAAAAAAAAACTTCACATGTCACCCAGAAGGGGGCAGTGCAGCTCTGCTTTTAGATACCAGCGTTCGTTTTTCACTGCAGTTGGAATCAGTTTAGAAATTATATTAATAAAATGGTAAATAAAATCATAGCACGACGTATATATATATTTACATACACAAACCTACATTTATAAATATATACAGACAATATATATATACACATATACACACATTTACAGTGTATACATTAACTTAAGTGTGTAGTGAACCTTACCTTCGATGATTCCCCACTTGGTTTTTCGGCCCAGCACTTTGTTCCCGTTCACGTGATGTTCCTTATCAGTTCCCACCACGGCGAAGGGAATACTCTCCTGAAGAAGTACAAAGTATGACAGTGGAGTATCGGCGTGTACTTGTACTACAACAACAACAACAACAACGACAACAACAACAACGACCTCAGGCCTGACAGAACAGTCAGAACTAACGTCAGGTTGGTGATAATTAATCCGACTGATGACATCATCAGATGATCACATGACAAGACATTACTCTGATTCTGTCGTTGATGACGTGCTCCTCCGGATCCTCGTCGTACTCTTTCTGAGGGTAAACCTGAATCCCATTGGCTGCCAGGTCCTGCCTTATCTGTCACAGGTGAGCGGAGAATAGAAATAATAATAAAAAAAAAATTATTTCACCAGACGGTTGTTTGAACCAAAATCACATCAGAAATAGTAGAAATAGAATTATAAAATTAAAAGAATTAGAATTTTACTGTGTAGTTTATTGACCGGAAAAACGTAGGAAACACTGACACTTCTGACTGTTTTCTGTGTTTATTTAAACCCAAAGAAAAGTCTTTTATTTCTGTAGGATTTATACGAGTGGCTGCAGAGAAGTCTGTGTGTGTGTTTGTGAGGGGGGGTGGGGGGGAGGGGTGTGTGTGTTCTTCCTCACCCTCTCTTTAAACTCCTGTCTCTCTTCTATGGTGAGTGTGTCAGCCTTGGCGATGACAGGCACGATGCTCACGATCTTCCCCAACCTCTTCATGAACTCCACGTCGATGGGACGTAACCTGGAGACACAGACAGACGGACGATGAACGTGATGCAGATGATGATGTCATCAACGGAGTGTGCTGTCCGCTGGTACCGACCTGTGACCAGTGGCAGGCAGGAAGTAGATGCAGCAGTGGACTCTGGTGTCTGGTATCCTCCTCTTGCGGTTCACGTGCAGCTCCTCCCTCAGGTACTTCTCGTACTGGTCCTTGACGTACGTCACTATTGGCTCCCAGCTGCAGCAGAAACAGGGGTCACGGGGGTCACAGGGGTCACGGTCAGGACTAAAACTAAGCAGAGTCAAAGTCAAAGCCGCTGGACCTCACCAGTTGTCATTGTTGATCTGGTCGCCGAAGCCCGGGGTGTCGACCACCGTCAGCTTCATCTTCACTCCCTTCTCCTCGATGACTGTCGACACACAGACGCAGAAACAACGTTAACGTCGTTGACGTTCCTCACATGCCGCACGGTGAAAAGCTGAGGCCCAATTATAGCCTTTGACAGATTTATTAGCGGTGAGTCGGAGGCTAACGACTGACGACAACTATCGACTTTGTCAGTGAAAAAACAGCGTCAGTGAGTGAATCAGACCAGTGACTGACTGTCCAGGTCTGTGATTAAAGCGCTGGTTTACTCTGGTGTCAATAACAGGGTGAGGACGAGGGGGGGAGGACGGGGGGGACAACGACAGTCCAGCGGAGACGCTAACAACCAGAGCAGGACGGACAAGAGGGAACATGTGAGAAGACGCTGAGATCAAAGATGGTCTGAGTCGGGCCGTCACGTGCACGTGTCACGTGCACGTGCGAGCAGAGACGTGAGGACTATCATTTAGGTCCAGGTCCACTGATGAGTCAACAGAGAAGAATCTCCACCGAGGAACCCACATCTGGAAGGTCCTCATTAAAACCTCCAGATGCAGTAAAGTAAAGTTGGTCTGGGTGTGTGTGTGAGTGTGTGAATAAGTGTGTGTGTGTGTGTGTGCAGACCCGTCAGCCTGACCTGGTTTTACTGCCTCACACACCGATGAGTAGATGGTGAGATGAAACAGTCCTGTAGAAGAACCATCTCCAGTGAAGAACGTCTGAAGAGCTCCACCAAACCAGAGCCGTTTGGTTCACTTCAACTGGACCACAGAGTCCGTTTCTACAGATAGTCCACTTGTTTTTTTTTGTGAACCAAAACCAGCCAAAAACTGGTCCTCCTGAAAACCTGGGTCTTGGTTTGTTTGGAAGTGAACCCTGGTTCTTTGTCTTCACTGCAACTGTGTGACATTATCCAGGCGCTTTGGTCGAATTTTTAAAAGTGAACCGAACCAAATGAAAGTGTGATTTTTTTTTCCTCCTGCTG